GCGCCTGTGGTCCCAGCTACTTGGGAGGCGGAGGCAGGAGACTCGCTTGAGCCCAGGAGTTGGAGGTTGCTGTGAGCTGAGATGCCACGGCACTTTACTCAGGGGGACAGCTTGAGGCTCCTGTCTCAAAAAAAAAAAGACCAGCTTGAGCAAAGCAAGACCCCATTTCCATTAAAAATAGAAAAACTAGCCAGGCGTAGTGGATGCCTGAATTCCAAGTTGGAAGGCTGTGAGTTCTCACGGCAAGAAAGAAGACTCATGTTACCTTGCGAAGAACTGTGGATGCCCAGGCTGTTAAAGGAGGACATGACAATGGACTGTTTTCCTAGCAACTCCCAACTAAATTATTTCAGGAGACCGGGTATGGTGGCTCATGCTGCTACCCCCAGCACTCTGAGAGGCCCAGGTGGGCAGGTGGGTGGATCGCCTGAGCTCATGAGTTTGAGACCAGCCTGAGCCAGACTGAGACCTTGTCTCTAAAATGGCTGGGCATTGTGGCAGGCACCTGTAGTCCCAACTACTTGGAAGGCTGAGGCAAGAGAATCACTTGAGCCCTGGAGTCTGAGGTGGTTGTGAGCTGTGTGTGACATCAATGCATTGTACCCTGGGCAACAAAATGAGACCAAAGTAGTTGCTCAATATATATTTATTGAATGAATGATGTCCAACAAGCACTTGTGATTAATGAACCAATGTTAATATGAAAAACCTTTTAACTTTATGCCCAAGGTTTTGTTCAGTATTTGGCATAAAGGAGGAACCATGGTACTGCTATAAGCTTCACTGTAATACACAGCTGGGTTTGAATACTACTATGCTACTTGGTGGCTAAGTGACTTGGGGCAAAGGCTTAGTGTGCTCCTCTGTAAAATGTGGAAATGATGGTTACTTTCCAGGGTCACTGTGAAGTTCAGAGCTCACATAAGTAAAAAGGCTAACACTGTTAAGAAATTCAATTGGTAGTGTCTTTCTGAAAAGCTGTAAGGGAGGATCTAACCAAAATTTAAAATGCATATATTCTTTGACCCAGAACTCCACTTCTAGAAGAAATCTGTTTTGCCAAAATGTCATAGGCATGCACAAAGATAAAGGTAAGAATGTTTTCTCTGCATCACTGTCTATAGCAGAAAAAAACTGTAACCTTAAAATATCTATCATAGGGGACTGACTGATCAATCAAACTACATTAAAGTGTCTAGCAGAAGGCCTGGCATTTCGTAGTTACTTGATAGAAGGCAATCATATCCCTAGTACATAATATTAGCATGCTCTGTACAGCACTTTTTTTCTTTTTTTTTTGAGACAGAGCCTCAAGCTGTCCCCTTGGGTAGAGTGCTGTGGCATCACAGCTCATAGCAACCTCTAACTCCTGGGCTCAAGCGAGTCTCCTGCCTCTACCTCCCAAGTAGCTGGGACCACAGGCGCCCGCCACAATGCCTGGCTATTTTTTGGTTGCAGCCATCGTTGTTTGGCGGGCCCAGGCTAGATTCGAACCCGCCACCTTAGCCACTTGAGCCACAGGTGCCAAGCCAGCACTGTTTTTTTTAAGAGACAGAGTTTCACTTTGTTGCCCTCGGTAGAGAGCTGTTGCATCACAGCTCACAGCAACTTGCAGCTCTTGGGCTTAGATGATTCTCTTGTCTTAGCCTCCTGAGTAGCCGGAACTACAGGCGCCTGGCTATTTTTTGTTGCATTTTGGCAGGGGCCAGGTTCGAACCCACCACCCTCGGTATATGGGGCCGGCGACTTACTCACTGAGCCACAGGCACCGACCTGTACAGCACTTTTATACACTTCTTTCTCACACTAATCCTATGAGGTCGTACTATTTCAGATGAGGAACCAGACGTCAGATAAGAACAACTTGCTTAAGTGTCAATATCAATATCCTAGTTGTATTATACTCCTCAAAATGTCACCATTTGAAAACTGGACAAAATGTATAAGAGCTCTCTCTGTATTTTTTATTTTCAAGAGACAGGGTCTCACTCTATTGCACAGTGGCATGATCAGAGCTTACTACAGCCTCGAACTCCTGGGCTTAAGCAACCCTCCTCCCTCAGCCTCCCCAATAGCTGGAAATATAGGCACATGCCACCATGCCCAGCTAATTTAAAAATTTTTATGTAGACACATGGTCTTGCTATGTTGTCCACACTGGTCTTAAACTCCTGGCCTCAAATGATCCTCTTACTTTGGCATCCCAAAGTGCTAAGTTTTTTGTTGGTTTGTTCAATAGAGAAATGGAGTTTCACTCTTACTCAGGCTGGTCTTGAACTCCTGAGCTCAAGTGATCCTCTTGCCTTGGCCTCCCAGAGTACTAGGATTATAGATGTGAACTGGCCCTAAAGTGCTAGGATTATAGGCATGAGCCACTGTGGTGCCCAGCCTGTATTATTTCTTAAAACTACAGGTTTTCTATATATAATATAGAACATTTTCTATATATGTATTAAAAAAAACCCCCAAACCTGATATGCTCAAGACTAGCAACTAGAGGAAACTCAGTGTGACAACCAGAAATGTCTTTGGAGAGGGGAAAAAGCAGAGAAAACTGAAGTGGCCTGACTCCAAAAAATTTACCTTCAACCACTACCACAACATGGAAGATTAAGTGCTTCTTGAATAACATCTCAACAAACATCTCATATTCAGCTCTCCTCTGCAACTTCTTCACACTTAACGGTCATCTCTTCCTCATTTCCAAACTTATGCCTTTATTTCTGCTTCTGCATAGCTTGGACTTGCCTCTCTGCCTTGAATATATTCACTTCACTTATCTAAGTTCTTTAGTTCCTTTTGATCTCTTAACAAATCCTTTCTTGGCCACCTCATGAAAGTGCTCTGTCCTATTTTTCAATTCAGATCTAACATTTCTTGGAGTACCCACTCTACCAGCAATATCTTTACTTTTCACAACTACTCATGTGCTACCTGTATTACTCCTATGTCTTTTTTTTTTTTTTTTTTTTGAGACAGAACCTCAAGCTGCCCCCCTGGGTAGAGTGCCATGGCATTACAGCTCACAGCAACCTCCAACTCCTGGGCTCAAGCGAGTCTCCTGCCTCCGCCTCCCAAGTAGCTGGGACCACAGGCACCCACCACAACACCCGGCTATTTTTTGGTTGTAGCCGTCATTGTTGTTTGGCGGGTCCGGGCTGGGGATTTGAACCCGCCACCTTAGGTGTACGTGGCTGGCGCCTTAGCCGGTTGAGCTATAGGCACCGAGCCTATTACTCCTATGTCTTAAAATTTTCACTAAACCATAATGTACCTAAGCTGGGGGTGGGGGGGGAGATATAAAATGACTGACTCAGTCCCTGGCACACAGTAAAGTACTCAAAAAACTATTTAAAACAGAACACAAGAAATACAAAAAGGTTGGCAGTCAGGTTTGTTGAGAGCACTTGATATATACTAGTGGGTGCCACCAGGCAAACCCCTGTTCTCTATGTCATGACTCCATTTAAATGCCTTTCCCCAGTCAAAACAACTGAAAACACAAATCCTTTTAGTAAAAATGTTTTCTTTGTCATAGCAAAAAATATGCATTTATAAGGATTGTCAAGAGGACTATTTCTGAAATCACAGTTTTGCTGCTGGTGTCTCCAAAACACAAGTTCTTACAATTTAAGAGAATGAAATCCACGGAAAGGTGGACAAGAAAAAATGTCCCACTTACTGAGTAAGTTTCTAGTAGATTTTTCTAGACATGGTTGCTTGCTGATCCCAAGTATTTGAATAAAGACAATGGCATCTTGGTGTTATTTTCACATATGTACTCTTAGAAACAGCTTATCTCCCTCCACGGGGTAAAACGTGGATTCTTAGGTCTGCAAGAATTCAGGCTGTACTCGGGCCACTTTCCGGAACTCTTTAATGTGGGTCTTGGGGCACTGCATCTCACACCAGCTTATGGGAACCATCTGGACACCTGGAAGGGAAAAGCAGGTGCTGGAGCTGAGACCCCAAAGATTAGCCTGAGATCCTTCTCTTTTCTGCTGGGTAGGAAACCAAGTTACCTAGTGAACCTCATATCATAAACACTTGGTTTATTCTACTATCTTATGAAGTGTGCCCCCAGTTTCCTAAGATTTATATCTTTTTTTTTCTTTTTTTATACAGACAGAGTTTCACTTTATCGCCCTTGGTAGAGTGCCGTGGCATCACACAGCTCGCAGCAACCTCCAATTCTTGGGCTTAGGCGATTCTCTTGCCTCAGCCTCCCAAGTAGCTGGGAACACGGGCACCTGCCAGAATGCCCAGCTATTTTTCTGTTGCAGTTTGGCCGGGGCCAGGTTTGAACCTGCCACCCTCGGTATATGAGGCCGGCACCCTACCCATTGAGCCACAGGCACCGCCCTAAGATTTATATCTTTTATATATAAGAAGACTCATTCTAATCTCAGTACTAAGTATCTACTATCATACTGTTTCCTATATAAGGGAAACAAAGGAAAATTTCAGATTAATCCCAAATCATACCTCCAGAGGAAAATAAGGATGAGGAAGTAGGGACCAACTGACCTGACTCACCGTGGGCTACCACCACTCCTAGCTCATTTTCGGCAGTGGTCAGCAAGTAGTTGGACTGTGCATCACCTAGGGAGATCTAGTCATATAACACTGGTGAAGGAAAATGAAAGATTATAAGTCCCCCCACCCCCACCCCCAGCCACTTGAGTTGTTTTTCTATTTCCATTTCCTCTTTTGACAAGAATTGGAGTCTGGTCTGTTAGGAACAAAGGATACCACTTTGGCCAAGACAATGTCACCTGGGCGGAAACTTTTATAAATTTCAACCTGTAAAGAAAGAACAGGAATGTTGAGTGAAAACTCTAGATTGGGTCTACATGAAACTATTAACTTTTCTGGTAGAGCCAATCTACTCTCTAATCCCGGAGGGTGGAAATCATCCTTACTCATCTCACCCAACTTTTAATGCTTCTATAATATTATCTTATGAATGAAAGATTTTGAAATCGGTAACCTGATTAGGAATCTGACTTTGATACAGATATTATAGTTAGCCCTAAAAGGGCTGAGTAAGTCTGAGGGAATAGCAATGTATAAACACTCAGATCCAAAGGCAAAGAATAAACTAGTTCTCCTCTGGTAATAGATAAAAATCATGTGGAGAGGAAAGGGACAGTGAAGTAATGTCCATACTTTACAGCAAGAAAGTTGTTAAACTTCTTTGGAGTCAACATAACCATGGACTCTGAAATAACCTAGGACAATACTTTCAAAGGATTGAGATTTCTGGAAGCATTAAAAAAAAAAAAAAA